AACGCCGAATAACCAGATTTTGGACAATATACCTACGATCTTGACAAATGCAGCTCCAATAATTATTTAACCAATAAGTTAAAGTTACACCTCCCTTTTGCAACTCACGAGTCATATTAGTTCACATGTGCGCTTTGACCTTAGCATTGCTTTTACAGTTCCATTATGTTTTTGCCCTTTGCATAATTTCATAATTTGCCTCTTTCGGTTTTAAAAAAGTCAAAACTTTGCTGTGCTTCTTCGATGCTCTCCAGCTAATCACTAATTAGGATTATACACTAATTATAACTCAAAAATGAATTTGTAAATATTACCCTCTGTTAAATTACAAAAGACTATGATTGTGGTGAGTCTCACTAGTAGCAGTGTATGGAAACCGCAAATTGAGATTTAACAATAAATACACATCACTATAATTTATGAATCCACTATATACATGTCCACGTCGGTTACAAAATTATAGTGGTTTAATACGACGAATTGTAAAGATCAATAAGGTACGTTAAATGAATATGTTTGTGGTCCCTTATCGCGATTCAAGGGTTTGCTTCTGTTGTATGTTTCCCTAAAAATAAAATAAGGTTTTGAATTTTGGGTAATTTGCACGTTTATGTGCAACAAGTTCACAGCTAATCCTCACTGCATTATTATTTATATGATATACGCTTAATACTAGCAAAAAATATGATATGAAAACATATGATGACTATTCACTAGCATCCAAAATAAGAAAATGATGTCGAAATTACAAAAATAAAATAAAAACCGTAAGAAACGGGAGAAAAAAGAAGCCAGCCACTAAAGATAATATAAGATATTAATGTGACACATCATCTCTTTTCAGAAACAAACAAAAGTGGTTGATTAATTAAGACAGTAATCTTTACATTTTTTCTGTTTTTTTTTGGTAAAATGTAATCTTTACATATGCAAACAGAGGTGATTACAAACAGAGGTGTGTAAAGTGTGCAAACCAATCTATATATGAAAACAGAAGTATGTAAAGTGTGCAAAACTCGAACGATTGTTATTAGAAGTGACAACATAGTTTGTTGTTTATAACCGGCTGGGAAATATATCTATACTTTATAGCCGAAAACATATCTTATAAAACTAGTAGTAAATATAATGTTAAAAAAACTAGTAGTAAATTATTTTTATAGAGGTGAAATTAAATATCATATGAACTTTAACAAATACAAAGTATCAATTCATTTGAAAAATTAGTTTTCGAAATAAAAAGAATATGTTTTCAGGTTTTGGACAAATACTTTAAGTACAAGAAGTGATTACACATATACAAATATAATTTGAACCACATGTAAGTAGTTTCGTTAGGTTATGATATCTCTGTTTCCGCTCTATAATTTATTTCATCATAAAACATAAAGCAATAAATAAAAATAAAATGTTATTTTATAATAGAATAATATTTTTATTTATTCTCTGATTTTTATTTTATTTTTGAGTAAGATAAAGTAAATTATAGAATGAGACGGAGATGTTACTCTTAAAACATTTTCAACTCCATTGTATTTTTTTTATTTAAAACAGAGTAAAAAAATATAGAATAAAAAATATTTAATTTTTTTTTATATAGGGGCATTTTCAGTCCTACTCAATATTCTACTCCAAACATTATTTTTGGAATATAATCTTCTCTAAGCCTATTTCATTTTTAACTCCAAAATAGAGTAATGACTAGGACTACTCAATTTATGGAGTAATCTTGTCCATTATTCTATTTTGAAGTTGAACATTATTTATTTGTAAAATGATTCTTTAAATCTTTAATATTTTTATTTAATGCATAACATAATTATACAAATATAAATAATATAAAATAAACATAAAAACAAGTGATTCAATAATTTGGCACTTGATCATTTGTGGAAAAAATATTCTAATGTTCATTATTGAACCAACTTATATATTTTCTTTTATTATATGTTTATGATTTCTGTATTTTTAATAATAAATGTTTAATTCAAATAATTTTTTTTATAAACATAAAATAGTTGGGGTTAATTAGTAATTTATAAAAGTATAAGGTATTATCATCAATTATTAGTAAAAAAAAAGAATATTTTAAAATGTTATTTTTGGAATAAAAATGGAATAATACAATGGAATAAAACTCTAATCAATTTTGGTGTTGTACTATTTTAAAGTAAAATATAAAATAATACTTTGAAGATAATCTAATATAATTTTCTCCATAAACAGAATAATATTTTTTCGTTTGTATTTTATTATGGAATAGGATACGAAATAGAATTAGAGCATTTATACTCTGTATTCATTTTCATTCTATTTTTAAAGAAAAAAATGAAATCTTATGTTTTTAGAGATGTTTACCTTTGCACGGTCCGATAGTAAGTTCCGTTACTAAGAAAAAAAAAAAAAACCAACCAAACTAAAACGATGAAATTTAACCGGGCTTCGTAGTCTGGTGGTAATGGAACCTCGGCTGAGGTGTCCGTCACCCGATTTCGAATCCGGCCACTATATAATTAACATGTGGAGTTGGTGTGGCGCCCCAGACCACTTAGCGTAACCAGAAATCCTTAAGTGGAGGCTTAAAAATTCTATCATGGCATGGACTTAGGTTTGGTGGACTAGTCGATCACGCTTTGTGGTCGATACCGGTTAGAAAAAAAAAAAAAACCAAACTAAAACGATGAAATTTACCGTTTACGTTTGCCATGACTCATGACTTCAATGTCGGTCACATAATATTTACGTACAACATGGACCTACGCGTACGCCTCTTATTGAAAGTTTTCCGTATGAGCTACTTTCTTATTATTGGATTTTTTGAATAGGAATCCAAGCCATCCTATGACATACTCCCACGTACAAACGCATTTGGTGACGTACTATTGATTAACAAACAGATTTATATAGAGAGAGGAAAATATGCTGTAAAACAATGAATCGATCTGAGAAAATTTAACCCGTTTTCAAAATTTCTGATTTTCAAAAACAATGGGTTGACAAAAAAAAGGGTTGACGACAAAATAAATATATAAATATGCAGTTAAATCCACCTGCATATTTTATTTCGAACATATATATACAAATCAGTAGAATTAAATTAAATGATAAAATAATTGCCAGTAAACAATTGTAAAGATACAGAGGAAAAAGATACAGTCGATCTGTAAGACTAACGCATTCAAGTTTCAAAACAAAATATGATTATGAGTTTAGATTGTCTGATTAGTTTGGTGTTGTAAATAGTCAGGCTTAAAACGTAATTATTCTTAATGTGTGGTGTGGCTCAGGCATTTTTAGACTCCAAATAGTAATACATTTTCAATGTTTTAACTAGATCTCTTTTAAATATATAATGTTGGCCTAAAAGATAGCGGTTAAAAAGCGACTTTATCTAAAATACAACTAAAAACCATCCTACCAATTATAAAATATACTTTAAAATATGATTGTTCATCTTCTTTCACTGTTTTAAAAAGTAGTTTCCATTAGAGATTAGCACAAAACTAGCTTGAAAATGTTGTGAAGTGTAAATATTCTCTGAGTGAAGATTGTGGCCTCAAACTCAAACCCATCGTCAAAGGAGAACATAATAAAAAAAAATACGTCGCTATTGCGTGAATGGACGTCTATTTCCAAACGCCATATACAAATGTCCACCGACCACCGACCTAAACATTTTTTTGAAGTTTTTAGAAAAAAATATTCTATTCTTATATTATTGACTAATGACATTTGTTGTTTGCATAATGCTCACTATGGGAATTCAGATGACGACCTTTTTCAGATGAACTACATAACACTTTTAAGATTGGATCACCGATCACCACCTGAAGTTTCAAAATTAATCATAACCACAATTTAAGAAAATTTGGAAAACTTTGTAAGTTCCAAATGTTAACAGACAAAACAAGAAATGATATAAGGTAGCTATTATATCTATAGTTATTAAAATAAATCATTTTTTAAAATTGTGGATAGATCACATGAAAATTTATATATTTTGCATAAGAATTGAAATCAGAAAACAAGTAAAACTAAAAACATAGGAAATAAGAAAAGACAAAGCACCTCAGAAATCCCACTAACTTGTCCCCAGACCAAAAGGAGACACGCGTGTCACTACGGCCTTTGATATTTTATCGCAACACAGCAATAAATATGGTAAATAAATTGTATTATTGCTTAAACATTTCTGAATAAAGTTTTAGAACTCTATAAGTACAGTTTAAATTAATAACCCTATTTATTATTGTTTCCAAAATTCCACACCAACGACCCACTTCCCTACGTCAATACTATTCATATTCCATGCAATCAATAAATAATCTCTGTTTACTTTTTTTTTTTACTAAGAATCTCTGTTTACTTGCATTTTCAATTTATTGACTAATTGACATTTTAAACTATATAGTCTAGTAGTATAAAACATTTTCAATATATAACGCAAGTTCATTTTTGATTACACATTATCAGTTAGAGAGCTAATAGAAAAGAAGAAGCTGACATGGACTTTTACAAAATAATTTGAATTCAATTTCTTATGCTGTACAATATAGTAACGTTGATATATAGAAATTAATTTTAAACCGTCCAATGGAAAGAGCCGACTAGCACATTAAAATAAGTTGCATGAGCGTATATAACACTAATATTTAATTCCGTCCAAACAATAAAGACAATATAGTAATAAATACTATTTTATCTAAATGTGTATATATATATATTGTCAGCGAAGATGAGATTATTGTCTCTGTCTTTAGAGAAACGAAATAAAAGTAAAGAAAATATATATATATTGCGAAAGAGGTTAAGTGATTAGTGTCGGTGGTTTTTGTTGAACTTCTCTTTTGCTGTTTCGTGTTCGTCTCATCTCTTCTTGGCCCACGTGTTCATCAACCTCTCTCCGCATGTAATCACTTCGCCGTCAATATCACATCTTCTTGCTCTTTCTACTTATTAATTCTTTCGTTATTTTCTTGGAATCTCCGGCGAAAACCCATATGGAGACAGTGATGGAAGTGGCGGCGGTTGTTCCTACTTCAACGGTGGTTGCGGCGACGAGGAAGAGGGAGAAACCGTATAAAGGGATAAGGATGAGGAAGTGGGGGAAGTGGGTGGCGGAGATAAGAGAGCCTAATAAACGTTCAAGAATCTGGCTCGGCTCTTACTCAACTCCCGAGGCGGCGGCGAGAGCTTACGACACGGCGGTGTTCTATCTCCGGGGCCCGTCTGCTCGGCTCAACTACCCGGAGCTTTTAGCCGGCGTTACGGTGGCGGGAGGAAACGGTGGTGGGGATATGTCGGCGGCTTATATAAGGAGAAAAGCGGCTGAGGTTGGAGCGCAAGTTGATGCGTTAGAAGCTGCGGGAGGCAATCATCATAATCATCATCATCATAATCATCATCAGCAACAACATCAACGTGGTAATCATGATTACGTGGATGATGATCATAGTGATTATCGTTTTAATGATGGTCATAACGAGTGTAGTAGTAAAGAAGGGTTTAAGAGGTGTAACGGGTCATGGGAAGCGGTGGATTTAAACAAATTACCCGACCCGGAAACTTCAGATGACGATTAAAGAAATGAAGATTGTGTATCCTACTTTGGTTCTTTCTTCATCCACGAAAAAGAAAAAATGTTGTAGAAATTTAAGATTTAGAGAATGTTTGTCTTTATGATGCACGGGAGTTGCTAACGTGCACCTCCTCACCGGAATTTGTGATTTATTAATTTACTACTACTAGTGTAATGATATTTTTCCCATAAATAGTTTTTCACGTACTCTTTTCTAAACTTCAATCATCCTACGCAAAGTTTGAAATTGTTTGTTTGTGTTTAAACTCTTCTGATATCTAATAAACAACAACTCGTTTTCCTTTACAAAGCGTACTACATATATCAATTCTTTAAGGTTCTATTAACTTCAGCTCAAGTTTAGTTTCGTTACTAGTATAAAAAGATCTATTTAAAAAAAAAGTCTCCTCTCCTAATAATTATTAAAGTCAACTTGATCTTTTTTTTTTTTTCTGGTTTCTAATATAGACTAAACGAATTAAATTCAGTTTAGTTTCAAAACTGTAGTACAATTAGTACGAGTTGGATGATGTTATATACAGAACAAAAATTCGGATGGAGTCCATTTTCTACTTTAAAATGGAGTAAAAATATTTATAGAATAAAAAATGTTTCAATTCCATTACATATCTTATTTCATAATAAGATATAAGTGAAGTAATCTGCTTTTTTTGTTCATTATTCCATTATAGAATAATAAATAGAGTGGAGTTAAAATATTTTCATTGTATAATCTATATTATTTTATTTTAGAATAAAATAATGAAATTTTACACGGGGTTCACCAGGTGACAATTTTTTTTCTTCTTTTTTTTTTCAAAAAAAAAAAAAAATTCGACGAATCATGGTTCGCCACGTGGTGAACCCGTGATGAACCAGTATCACCGCAGCAAGCTTAAGTGGAGCGGGTTCATCACTGTTTGTCTCGTAAATCGTGTGAACCCCTCTTAAACTCCTAATGGAGATGGTCTAAGTGTATAGCAGCCGAGCCGAAGAAGCAGGAGACTTAAGTAAATAGGATTCAAGTATTTCGAGTTAAGAGATGGATCAGAGGAAGAGTATCCTACCAAGCAAAAATGGTAAGTACCTTGTCCGATCTTAACAACTATAGCTCTCTATCTCAATCCTATTTCTGTAACTACTAAAGTCATTTTAGATTTCGTTTTCAAAAAATTAAATAAAATAAATAAAGCGTTATTGGATGAGAATCAAATACCCAAAGCATTTGATAACCTAACCTATCAAACAAAAAGAGAAGCTGATTCTCTAGAAAAAAGAAAGAAAGAAAGTAACTAGTGTACTTACCACTTACCAGAAAGAGTACAACAAAAGTTGAGTTCCTTGTGACCGACATAAGATGCGGCACTCTTGTAATACAAGTTATATGTCTAATATAATTCTAGTACAAGGTGCACTGTTGAGTACTCACTCTTATTCTCTCGACAATGTTTGATCCATGTTGATTTCCTCTCTACAACCTATTTTCTTGGCTTGATTTGTTCAAGCGTTCCTATCACCAATGCGCTTTATTTGAAGTGCGGCTCTAACCACGTTTCCTCTTGTGATTATACCAACCTTTTATTTGGATGAATATATAAAAAGGATAAGCCATGCATGCGTAAGATGATGTAAAACTAAAACGAAAGTGTGAGATGGGTAGAAGTTCTTACCAATTTGCCATCAGAATCTACCACAGGGAGCCGGCGATATTTGGTCTCCAGTAATATTCTAGTGGGAAACAGAACAACAACAAGATTAAGTTAGAGAAGAATATGTTAAGATAAAAGAAAATAAAGACAAGACAATAACTTCGCAGCATCTTCGAGGTTGGTATTTTCCTCAACAACAACTGGAGCTGGTGTCATTAAATCTCCAACAAGCTTCCCATTGGTTTTGCTTAGTAGCTTTTGCACTGCGTTGAAAGTCTGCAAATGTTTTTTTTTACAGGATCGGTATGAGACAATACAAGAAAAATTAAAAAATACAAAAACAAGAGATGTATAGAAACAATTAGTCTGAGAAGTTTTATAATCTCCAAAATTTAATCCACTTGCACAGAGTTCTGTCTACTTAAACTAGAGAACTGATTGTAACATTATAACTTTTGTAAAGGTAACTGAGCTAAATGCAATTAGCTGAGATTATGTGCGTCAATTAGTAAAAACAAATTTGATCGCAAAGTTCAATTCACACAATCTACTGCTGATAATGTGAACCAGGGAAACGAGCACATTGAGAACAAAATAATAATGAGTGAGTTAGAAAGCATTCAGGTTCAAAAGATGTTAATAAAGAAAAGAGAAGGCCACATACTTTCCAGGTGCTGTCAACCTCAGGGAACATGGCATTTTCTGTACTTCCACTACCTATATAGATAAGCAAAAGAAAAATACAATTTAAGGGGTTAGAGCAGAAGCTTTATGATCATTTACATTTGAGAGTGCTATCTCTCAACAAATGAGACACAAGGTCATCATCAGAACATTGATATTTCTATCTTTATACAACCATGTGATCAAGTAGCTTTCATATTTTTCCACCCAAATTAAAGATATCTTTTGAAAACAAAGGAAACCAAATACATTTGAGGTGGTGTTAGATGGCCCATTTACCAGAGATGGAGTCCAAAGCCAACAAATCATAATCTGAAACAAGCCCAACCTGCAGCAACAAAGCTTCCCTCATAACTAGGTCTTAGACTCAAGTTAACTTCCATGAGTAAGCATACAAAAGTGGATACTAACCAGCTTCCAGTCTTGGTCTATCACAGGAAACCCTGTAATCCTATTCTCCACAAGGATTTCCAGAGCTGCAACAAAAAAAAATTATAAAAATTGGAAAAAATAAATAAACAAACCACATAGGTTTTACATAGAACAAGAAACCACTGTACCTTGATCAACAGTAGTGGTAGGTTTGACCACATGCAAGTCATCCTTCTTGGTCATGAACTCACCAACAGTGTACACTGCACTTCTTGGCTAAAGTAACATTCAAAAAAAAATATCCTCTAAGCTCAAATTAAACCCCTAGTTACTTGTACAACACTTATTCAATCTAACTAGAACATTAGTCACTATCTCATTACTCAAGTAACTTAGCTTCTTCAAATCCTAAGAATGCATTGCAAAAATCAAATGTGATACTTCACCATGTTCTATCTAATTAAGCTAAATATTATAATAACCTAAACAACCTACTCTATCAAAATTCCCAAAAAAACCTAAAGACGTCAAAGAGCATACCGAAGATGAACTCGCCATCAACGTGGAGCTTGCGGCTGAAGCTGAAGGACTCCAGGATTTGGAGAAGGAGGAGCTGAGAGTGGGAGAGAAGGTGAAGTGGTGGCCACGAAGGATGGAGAGGAATCTCGGCGGAGAAGCTGAGGGAGATGCGCGTAGGCGTGTGATGGAGAGGGGACAAGCGTGTATCACGGCGTCCATTGAACGTCGGAGAGAGAGATAGCCGGAAGTGATAAAGAGATCACGATATCTCTGCGTCTTTGTATTGGGAAACGCGAAGAACCGTGACTATCTTTTTTTTTTTTCTAAAAGAACATTTTAACCAAACCGGTTTATATTTCAAAACCGATAAATATAAGAAATTCGGACCAAACACCTTACCTACTTTTAAATTGGATCTTTATTTTGTTGGTTTTTAGGCTTTTTGGGCCAAAGATTTCTATATTCTTATTGATGTATGTAGGATTTGAGATGGACTATACGTTGAGTGACAATCACATACTTTGGATATCAAACGCAACATAACGTGTTTATAGATAATGATAGTATTTGGGATTAGATCGGTGAAACTTTGAAGGCTTACTTGTTGCCAATACATAATGACGTATCTAAATGATTAATTCCAAAGAAATAATAATTACTTCAAGAGAACGTGTTAACTACTATGAGACTAGTATTATGAAATGAGGTACAGTTTTGAGTTGAGGAAATAAAAAAAATAAAACTCCGAATTTATTTAACAATCAACAATATATCAACATTTGACAAACGTAGTTCATTGTACTCAAAGTATCTTTTGGACCAGATACTCGAAGGATCTTGCCTTCAATGACACTCAATTTGTTATAAACGCTCAAGTTGTTTACGTTGTCTATCACTTTTTGGGATATTTGTTTTTTAACGGTTCACCAAGTTAATTATATTCTACTATTCATGTTTTCGGTTACATCAAAACAAGTAAGAAACACATCGATATCATTTTGTTCATCATGGCCTGATTGGTCCATTTGCACCTCACGCTATGTAGAATATTGTAGAGTGGAACTCTGATTTAGTTACCCTAAAATAGAGATGGTAAATCCATGTGTTAGTTTATAAATCGATCATCGGTAATTCGGTATACATCATATATCCAAAGGTTAATCTAGTTGTGTAGGAGGGGTGAGGGAGGTAGGCAAATGTAGTATTATTTATTTATAGGGGATTCACTAAAGAATCCACAAAACATTCACGATGTACCGAACTAATTGTTTTATGAGAGCATGCAAATTTTGGATGCATAAACATTGATGCAAAACTATATATTTTGTATTTTTGAGTTTATGGATGCAAAATTTTGTTATTCATTCGATTACTCAACCATTTAAAATCTTTTCACGTACGTTCTTTCATATCATTATAATTTTTACATGCAAATCTGTTCCTCTAAAACGAGATATAAAATATGCTATTTTAGTGAAATTCAGCTAGTTATTGTATTTTAAAACTTGCTAGTATCATTTTGCCAACTACCATTAATTAATGAGATATTTTCTCCAGACTTAGCACGAAAGAATCATAATGCATGTGGTTTCTCTTTGCCTTAACCTCAGTTAGGCCCGATCTATCGTCCATCACTGATATATTTTTTGTCTGAAACATCGAAACAATTCAAAAGCAAAGTAAAAAGTGAAAAAGGAAATAATTCCCATATTGGTGAAAACATGAAAAGTCGGAATAATTCGTTGGTCCCTCCATTAGCTAACTTGAATTATTGCAAATGGGACCGTACTAGTATTTTGGTGTGGTTTTGAAATAGTACCAATTAAAAACATAATTAAAAAGAAAGTGTGTGGCGTCGGTGTCAAATGATGTTTGGGAAAACAAGTGGGGGTTAATTTAAAAGATTTACAAAAATGGAAAGTCTTTGGACCGCAAAACGTATGGACATCGTACCTAAGTTCCTGACTCCTTACTATATTTGTACATCAACGTGTTTCCCTTTGTCCCTTTTTTTGTCGTTCCCTTTAGATTTTTTTGTTCTCCTCTAAATATTCTTTTTTGAGACTATAAGCAAATCCTCTCAATAATTTAACCTAACAAAAAAACTATTAATTTGTCCCCAACCCATTCCGTGATTTACCTTTCATTTATTTATTTTCCATTGATTACTAATAATATTCGGTTTTTATTAATTTTGTTAGTAGAAAGCTAATCTTACATTTTCATATACTATTGGTTACGTAGAAAATTAATGAGCTATCACGAGTCGAATCCAATTGTATCGGAAAGGATAAAACAATTATATATCGTGAAGACATTGAGGTATCCATTATCAGCTCGCTCACATGGCCCCCACATTGAACGATGACAAAATATCACATTGAACGAATCCTAGTTGAGGATATTTGGAGAGCCTATAACAAGATCTGGACAACTCACAAATCAAGATTTATCGGTACCGTCCGATGTTTTCCACGTTCTTTAATCTCGGACTTGATTGCGATTCCAATATTACAAACTTAAAATAATAAATAGCACCTTTGGATAGGAGCTTAGTTGTAAAACATTAGCTCCTAAATATATAATAACGTTGTATATATATGATATTAACGATGTGTATGTTATTATCATATTATGTGGGTGGCTGATGAGTGTAGTATTCACGATATCTAATATACCCATTACCTAACAAGATCCACAATTTTGATTTGCATTCAACTTCAAGCCATTAAATCCACACACTACTTGGATATATCAATTCATACATTTATGGTCCTACGTTAGATATGTTAGTTCAAGTAGATGGTATTTTCTGCATCATTTATGACATATTTTCAGAATAATTCTTTATACGTTAAAATTATATGAAATTCCGTTATGTACTAAGAAATTGTATTTATTGTTACTTGTCCACACTATGTGACCACATAGACAAGTAGAATGAGGTAGATAGTGATATCTCATATTTTTATAGGTTTTTAATATCTCATCTTAGCTCATATTGATCATTTAGGTTGCATTTAGAAGTCTTTATTGTATATATTTGTTCATTTGCATAAATCAGGGTCTAAAGTGCATATATGGAAGTTAAAGGCGAAATCATAAGGATATTTCTGTGAAATTGGAAGTTTTGGGGCAATTGTGAAAACAACAGTTAGTTCAGGGACCAAAGCTGCAAAATAGAAACATTCGATGGGTCTTGATTGCACAATCAGAAGTCTATGGGTTGATTTGGAGAGGGTGTCTCTGCAAATTATAGTGTTGGAGGCCATTTTGTAAAGCACCAGAAGTTGAAGGACCTGTTTTGCAAATAAGCAAGAGTGCACCATTGGAAACACACGAGCTTTCTTCTCTGCAATCTCGCCGGTTCCGGCGGCCACCACGACGGTAGAGATGACCACAGCGAAGGAGATGGTGATGACGGAGGTTTCTGTTGATGAGGAACTCGTGGTTTAGAGCTTGAAGAAGAAGAAGTTGCCATTGTTGTCTCACGAGCTCTGTGGCTCCAAATCTCGACGGCGAACCTGGTTGATTCGGACGGCGTGGCTCACCGGAGCACGAGCTCGACCCAAACACGACAGAGCAAGACGACGAGATGGTGTGGTGCTGCTAGTTGGAAGTGAACGACGACGTTGGAGAGGTTCGAGAGAGGAGCCGCCGCGAGCTTACACCGCGGGATGGTGGTGGTCGCGGCCAAGCTACGCAATCCGGGCAGGGAAGATTCGCGGGGTGTCATCGCGGGAGATCGAGTCCGCGAAATCTCACTCGAGACGAGCTCATGTCGCAGGCACACGACGCGGGGGAAGCTTGACCGCGGCAGTTCATGTCCTTTACAAAGTCAAAATGTTGACCGGCTTAAACCGGTTTGACCCGGTTTAACTCAATTGAACCATGACGAATTTGGACCTCTATATATAGTTTTAGCCCCCAAAAACCCTAAAGGATCTCATTTTCTCTCAAGAACTTGTTTCTAATTGTAAAAGCTTGAACCTTTTTATCATTTTAAGGAAGTATTTCATCTTATATCTTGTTTCTCATTCTCATTAACATCATTAGCCTTGAATCCATCATGGATTTAAGGTTTCTCATGGAGATTAGAGAGTAGACAATTTTAGAATTCATGGGTTAGGTAGATTTAAGGTGATTAAGTGTAGATCTAAGTGTTTCATTGCTAGTTGAGTGTGTTTAATGCTATTCTAGACTTGATCACTCTAGGATTGAACCTTAGTCATTTTCTGCCCACAAGGTGTATGTTTAAATGACTGAACCAACTCTCCTTAGCTTTAAGACTACCTAGCCAATGACCATTTGTATCTAGGGGTTTTAGATAGTTATTAAACTTAATCTTAATGATTGCTTGAATTAATTAAGCCAATGACCATTTGTGTTTGATTAATGANCCACAAGGTGTATGTTTAAATGACTGAACCAACTCTCCTTAGCTTTAAGACTACCTAGCCAATGACCATTTGTATCTAGGGGTTTTAGATAGTTATTAAACTTAATCTTAATGATTGCTTGAATTAATTAAGCCAATGACCATTTGTGTTTGATTAATGAAAGCAAATGAGCATTTGCCTAGACCTAGGACTTGCTTAGAATTGTTGTTTAGACTTAAGGAACATTTTGATTGAAACTTTAATTGCTTTAGATCAATTGCCTAATCCCATGGATTCTACCTTATCATTTGATTAAAAGTAGTTCTTGTGATTGTTTCTTGATTGGATTTGAGATCACCTTTGTTTATATTTTTAGGATCTTAGTTTGTTACAAATTGAACTCTCTATTTGCTTAGATTAGGAAGGTTTGCGTACTCCTAGTGCTTAGATCACTAGTTCCCTGTGGTTCGACAATCTAAAATACTACAATCGATTTGCTCTAAGGTGTAAAAACCCTTATCAGATAGTTGTAGGTACTGATCTTTTATTTATGTTTTGGTTAACTTACTAGGCATATTATTATTAACATATATATGTGATATCCTTGTGGCTTGTGTGGATGTAATTTGTATCAGAATAATAAAAGTCTACATTTGTTTTCTACATCAAAGTAAAGTCTATAGATTGTAGAAAGATACCGTCCTACGGTATCTATTGTACTTCTACTTAAAACTTTCATTCAATAATAACTCTTCTTTGTAGTACATCTTTGTCGTATCATATATGTCGCATAACGAGAGAGTATAAAGGTCAATAATATCAGCAAATAAGAATTTTAGTTTTGTTTTCTTTGGTTTTGTTTTATCTGGCCACATTTGCTGTAGTTATAAAAACTGAAAATTCACGGGGTGATTGGGAATAATAATGGTTCTTTGTAGGCCTATT